CATGAAACTTGATGTGCGTGTTGATCCTGGACGACACATTGCCCTAATTTGTATCCTACAGATATCAGCTCACTAGCATACTGTTACAATGCTTTCCTAACTCTAATGCCACGAATCATGTTGGGATTATGGTATGGTCATGCCGATGGTGATGTGTCGAATTTTGAAACCCGTTGGAACTCAAGGTTAAATGAATTGTGCTTTCAAGTTAACATAATTAAAGCAGAAAGGTCTGGAGACAGTTCAATGGTTACTTCTTTATTTCATCTCTAAACATAAAAGGAACTACGTCTAGCTTTAATAGAAACTGACCAAGTCATTTTTTTATTATGAAGGGTGTAATAATACCCACATTCGAATCAATTCAAAAGGGGCGCACGTCAAATAATTAATTTTTCAAAAGAAGCTATTTGCAGCATGTTTTACCTAGCGAAATCGATGACAGACAATTTATTTGGAGGGAAATGTTTATAAACAGTTATTTCTGATTGGGCAGGGAAACTTAAAGGCGTACACTTTGAGAAACAATTTAGGAACTATCTCTTGAAAAAAATCCTTTAGTCAGATCTTTCTTGAGAGACGGTTAAGTTGAATCTGTCGACTCTAATGAATTAGTGTTCTTCAAGAAATTACAGAAAGGGTTCAGATAGTTGTCTTAGAAAACGAAGACAGACTAGTCTAGGACACTGGTTTTTGAAACAGTAAAACGACAGTAAGGTACGCAATTTTAGTTTCCAATGTTTAACATGCTTTTCATTTGTTTGATTGTTTGAAATCTGATTTATTATGATTCATGCATGTATCGTGTATTCATTTCGTAGGACTCTATTGATGAGTTTATATCATCTAATTCTCTGATTTTTCAGTTCTCAATTCATTGAGAGAATTGACGGATCGCATGTAATTAAATATTTGATATGTAGAATTGCGTAGGGATTTCACGATTTTACCCTAGTATACGAATATGTCATATTTCTTAGGATATATGAAATGAATCTGTGTAGAATGATATTTAATCTTAATGACAAGTGTACATATGAGTTCGCGATATTTAATAGCTCATTCAAGTTACATTAGGATAGTTAGATTTAGTGGATATTATGCCATAAATAATTGATTATTACGCTGAATTGAATAGCTAAATGTAATTAAGTTTTGTTGTAATGCATGCTGGCATAAATGGTCACATTTTCTGTAGAAAGCTCGTGGGAGTTTATGACATGCCTCCAGATTGGAATTAACTTGAACTAAAGTCATCTGTATCAATATAACGGTATTCTTACAGCAAACATAGAATATGTAAGGAGATAGTGATTAAGGTCACGTTAGGTCAGAATTGTGCAGTGTAAACCACCTAAATCTGAGCACGAGAAATATATTTATATGTAAATGTGTAGTGGTATTTGTCTAGCATGAGACATACTATATATTGAAGGGAACAGTTTAGTACTGCCTACTCCGAACGACAGAAGAAGAAAGAGGAATACGGAATGAACCCAATAAGTTAAAGGGAAAATCTGCATGTACAGGATGTCAGACTAGCGAGGATAGAAGAGGACAAAGCACGTGGGTAGACGTGGGAAATAAGTCATGAGAGGACCATTGACAGATGATGCTGTCACCACATTTGAAATTGTGCTCAAAGTCAATACTCGTAAAATATGACGAAACTCTTACACTGTAATTAAATTATGTCACTGACAAATCAGTCAAATTGGAAGGTTAAGTTTGGTTATGCTACTTGAGCATATATAATTAAGTAAATGGGTTTTATGGGAATTGATTTTTCTTATGATTATATGTTAACTAATGAAAAGTTTATATGTTTATTTTTGAAAGAGGGCTCGTTTTTATTTCCTTCAATACTTTGCTCAGCTATCTTAATCATTCCATCTATCCGTCCACACTGGGTAAATTACACCCCGGGATATCATTCCCTAGCTAACAGAGCCAAATAAAAGGAGGAAGGTTTTAATTTTTTAAATCCTCCATCACACCGGTGACACGCAGAATTCATGTTCTTAATTTACACAAATGTTTGGGCAGACGCTGGGTATATTTGAAACTGGCCATCCTAGCAGTGTGCGAAAAAATCAAAACGCTGCCTATAGGTTACTTTACATATTTGTTTTGTTAGTAATAGCTAATACCAAACAGATTCGTAAATAACTTTCATAAGTTTAAATTGTTAATCCTAAGCCACCATTCTCAGAATTTCCATGAATTCCAGAAATTACTCTAAAATATTTTTGTATTGAATTGTTTCTTTTCAAGCCGATACTTTGACTTCTTAAGAAATACGATGCTGATGAGTAAGCGTAGACTTCACTCTGCTTTGGGATCCTCATTCCCAAAAGCAACATGTCTCATTTTAAAGACAATGTTTTATGCTACGGATCATGCATATTTATGTGTAGTTAATGAACAAATGACTCAATATAAAAAAAAAATAACTTCTCAAATAGATTTACGAATATTCTTGCTTTCATTTATAGCACAAACACGTTATATCCATTACATTAGTTTTGAAATATCTTGAATTGAAACAATAAAGAAATATCGCGGCTCCAACGAAAATCCACCAACCATGGGAAAATTAAATGGCCTATCCCTTAAAAACAACTTTACATTTTGCAATTGCCTAATTTTTTCCGGATAAACTCCTCTATGCTGCAGTCAGTTTTGTTACGCCTACAGTAATGGGAGACAAGGTGAGTAATTGATTTTCCAGCTGCAATAAGCTCATCGATATTGTGAACAGTTTAAATTTTCGATACAATTTAATTTGCATACATAATCCTTTCGTTATATTTGGCACCAACATATCTCAAGGACAATTCATTCGATGTCGTGCAAGTTTGCACTTTGACCTGGAGATCAAGGTATCAGAGTAATAAAATATTTGAATAAAATATTTGGCTAAAATGTATTCTTTTGCTTACCACTTGACAGATTTTCATCATACTGAAATTAAATCATTACCAATTGGAGACAATAGTATGTAGAACAAGTACTCTCACCACTATTGGTTGACCGAGCTCCCATCATTTCTTTAAATAAATCATACTATTCTAACTTTTTATTAAGATTTTGAAGACATTCTTGTATATATATATATATATATATATATATATATATATATATATATATATATATATATATATATATATATATATTCAGCATGAACATTTCTTCGCGTCTTCCTTCATCATTTTAGTAATCATTGCAGTTGTAAGGGAATATCTAATGCCCTGATGTAGTGAAATTTTATGGTCATCTTAATCAATCATCTGTTTATTGTGTTTCAGGAGCGGTCGAGACACCTTGTCAGGCTTGTCTGAACTGCATTTTGAAATACACGTTGGCTGCGATAGTGTTAAAATACATCTTCTGGATTGAAAAATCATATATATGAGTAGAGATTTGAATAAAGATATGGTTTAACTGAAGATGGCGAGTTAATCGTAGGATGCTGCATACTTTTCTGTGTGATGAAAAGGGCCTAATTTATTCGAACGTTTTCACAAATGTGTGCTTGAAAGCCGTATTAATGTCAACTTATTGATTGATATTCTTCATGTTCTTGATGTATCATTATGAAGAAAGAAAATTAATTCTGGATACGTTCGCTTTTCCCGTTAGATATTTAGGTAACGTTTGCACGCTATACACTAATGTTTCGAATGTGGATTGACCAATAAGATCATGACGTTCTTGTCAGTATTAATGGTATCACACCGACTTCGATTATGCAATGGTTCTTCGTACGCCATCCTCACTTCGTATTTAGGCGAAGGTTGTCCGTTATCAGTCATTTTATTGCACTTCTAATATCTGATTGTAACAAAGTCATGCACGAAATCTGGCATGCAGTTGACCCAAATGAAAATGATGCTCCACGGATATCATGCGTGGCTACACAGGTGGTCAACTTCAAAGTTTTTTATTTATCACTATTCGAATCATAGTACTTGATAAACATCTTGTATCATTCTTCTTGTAAACAACATAGTTACACGAACGGAGCTTTAATTAATTAAAGGGTTTCTTATGATGTCTCAAAATAAAATTCATTCTGATCTGACTGCCAAGATCATTGACAAGATAACCAGTAAAAAAATCGTTATGTCCCTATTTATCATGAATTAATAATCATATTGATAATCATATTGATAATCATATTGATAATCATATTGATAATCATATTGATAATCATATTGATAATCATATTGATAATCATATTGATTCGAAGTATCCCAAAAGCGTTGTGATGGTATGTGCATGATTCTATAACAAAATAATGTTTGCTTATAATTTCTTATTGCAAGAAAGACCGACAATGATGTCTGGTTAATTCTACATGAAGATGGTACCAATGTGACCTTCGCCATCGGACTCATTGCAATCATCGTATACATATTTTACTCATTCCCCACCCAAACCATACCCCTTCTGAACATACAGTAATACGGTAAAGATTGTTTTTAACGTTTTATAGAGAACTGCAATTTTTCAACAACGTGATAACATAGAAAGTTTCATGATCGTTTTCATTTTGATGTACATGTCGATGGAATACATGTAAACAATTTCTGCCGTCCATTTTAAGTGTCAACATACATTTAAGTGTACCGGCCAGAATATATTGTTGTGGTTATTGTTGTGTTCCTATTGTTACTCTTTTGGTTTATCGCCATTTCTCAACACAAGATATATATGGCGGCCAGTATAAATGGTAGAGGAGTGTGTGTGTGTGTGTGCGTGTGTGATTTAGACTTTTAACGTAGCTTCAACAGGTTCTCAGTCATATCGCTACGATGTCTGCAGTGTGGCAGTTTATAGTGATGTCTTGCACTGGGGCATTATGCCGCAGACATGTAGCATGATGTCCCACCCAGTCACATTATCCTGACAACAGGCCGACCAGTCCTAATGCTAACCTCTTAATGCTGAGCGTCAAGCGAGGCAGCTGTTAATACCATTTTTGTAAGTCTTTGGTATGACTCAACCGGGGATCGAACACACAAGCTTCCGCATCCGAGGCGGACGCTCTAACCACTAGGCCACCAGAGCGGTTAATGGTAGAGGAAGAACCCGGTAAAAACCGAGGTCAAAACGACCGACCCTCAGGAATATGTTAGAAGCTATTCAAATGATCACAAAAGGCCGAGTCCCAAACCTACGCGAACAGAAAGTAGATTGCAGTGATTTTTACAGGCTAATATGTTTTTCAATGATATGTGAATGCCAATAAAAGTTTGGATATGTCAATCTGAATTTGTAGGTACAGTTTATTGTCCACTATGCTATATAGAACTTCCCTGGCTTTGAGTAGCAGGGGGAAAAACGATTTTCGGTAATCACTCATGACACAAATACTATCTTCAGTTGTATCGTAGACATAATTTAGTTACTATATGACTAAACATTCGTAAAATCAATATCCTCGTTATCAGATTGATAGTGATACTGGGCACATACATGTACTTCTAGTGCATGCAAGTGGGCAAAGATTGCTACACTACTGTGTATAGGACTTTAGTTTCAAGGACTAAATTTTTAGGTCGATCTTTGTTAAAGTTAAGTATGGTAGAACACATTTAGTCGAATACATGTACCATTAACGAGATTTATGGAAAATGGTTACATTTTACAAGCCATAAAGTATGGATTGATTCGGGCAAGCCCATGAGGTATTAGTTTATAATTAAGGGCTACGTTGGTTTAAACTTACCGAACGGGGTTCAGGATTGGATCTCCATGGAAACTGACAGCCGAATAAAGGCCTGTTGCAGCTATTTGTTGATAGAAATAACACAGTGTTTTAGTGCCGGAAAAGCGAGAATTATTGCAATTCTGATTGGTCACGCTGTGGAGGGGGCGTGGTTTCACACAAAAATATTAAAGTTTAAATGTACAGGAGGAATTTTGAAATTTAGTCTACATTTTCTTAGAGAGAGAAGGATAAGACCTTGGATACTCCGGGGATATTAATGAGTAAAATTCTCTTTAAACCAATTTTTATCCAAGGAAGAGATGTTTGTCTGATGGATCTGACAGACACCAAAAGGAAAATTAAATTGAAAAATGAGGTAATTACATAAATCTCATATACGTTGCTAATGGCTTGATTTAACTGCGTGTATGTGCTTGTATTTGCATAAATTAATGTACGTCGTGTTTGCTATGATTCAATCACTTGTAGGTGCATGTATTTGCAGGGATTTATTTGTTAAGTCATAGATTAATATTCTTGACATGGTATACATGTGTCTAGTTTGTTTATCTTAGTCCGCACAACGATATTTCCTTTTGCATGTACGTTGGCGATTTGCTAAGTTATTGCCACGATTATTGTAGGGAATTGTGTATGCTGAATTCATGCTTATTCTATATACGGAATTATGTATCTGACATAATTGTGTTGAGTTTATTTAGCTGATTTTATGGTATTTATATAGATGGATGAATTAATCAAATGCTGATATTACGAAAGTTGTTGGAATTATCTGAAACGAATTTATCTGTAGAATGGTAACCTTAAAGTAAGGCAGGGAATTTCATTAATTTGCGTGTAATGAGACCGAGTGAGGGACTAATTCCGCATGTGGCATAAATGTTCATTCGCAGATCATTAGTCTGGGAACTAAGCCGTAAGTTCTGATTGGTAGCTATATAGTCTGTTTGAAGTCGATATAGTTAACTTCTGACCTCGAAGGGTCAGACTAATGATGTATCCCCGTGTAATGTGACGAAAGATTTAGTTTGCTTTGTTTTTATATCTTTATAAAGTGAGATAGTCTCCAAGAGACATATTTACAATCCAAAGAGCAGCAGAGAGGGTGAACCCTACAACAATATATTTGCGACAAAATCGATTAAAGCCTCAGAATGCCAATGGAGCCTTCCTACGAAATCTCATATTTTAACCAAAAAAAAATTAAAGGTCCCATCTTAGCGATTTTGTCGTGAATACATTGTCATAACCACACTCAAATTGCTGCCATCTACGTCTACAAATTTTTGCGACAGAATCGATTAAAGCCTCAGAATGCCAATGGAACCTTCCTACGAAATCTCATATTTCAACCAAAAAAAAAATAAAGACCCCATCTTAGCGATTTTGTCGCAAATACATTGTCATAACCACACTCAAATTGCTGCCATCTACGGTCGCAAATATGTTGTCATTTCACCCTCTCTGCTGCTGATTAATACAAATTATTTAACCGATATTTGTTAGCTTTTCACAAACAGACTAATCGATAATACTTCACCACGTAGATCAATTAAATTATTTGACTGATCGGTGAGTGTAAAATTAATTCTGGTTAGTGAATCATTTTGACATTGCATATAGACTGGATTAGTCGGATTCTCAACAATTAAAAATCCGGGGGGTGATGTTGGTGCAAATGAATAAAGAATGTAACCCTGTCGGGCTTGATTTGATTGTTCCATATTAATTTGATAACTTCCTTCGATTACATCACACGTTAAATTAAGTGCGATCACCGATGAAATATCCACATTGTTCGGTGCGATATGTCTACCGTCGCCGTCGGGAGAATTATTATGAGTGAGGATAATAGGCTTCGGCTGGCTATCTTTCCATGATTGATAGATTTTATTAAACCCTTCGTCGATGGCAGTTCTGAGTTGATTTTTTAGTTCAGGTGCGTTATATCCTGTAAGTACATAATTTGGATTACCTGCTAGGCCGCCCCTATAACGTCCAGCTTCAATTGTTCGATATATTGGAGAATTTTCATCAGTAAAAACACTGATAAGTCTTAATCTATATTTTTCCATGTCGCTGATGATTCTGTTGGCTGCCGCGACCACACTGGTAAACTCATCTTTTGTAAGAAGACCGGATCTCAACGAGTGTAGCAACAAATAAAAATCTTTGTTCATGTAGAGAAAAGAAAGGTCAAAGGTGGGAAAAAATTTACTATCTACGCTTACTTGCGCAACAGTATAACCTTTCTTTTCAAAATCAATAGGACGACGACGACTACCTCCAAAAGCATAGCTCGTCTCTGTTTCAGATATTTTTTTTCTGTAAACTTTTGTTAAATCTAATTCTTCGAAATTATCATATGTTCGTGATGGATTGTCAGGTCCTATTTCATCAGTGACATAATCAGATTTTACAGGCTCGGGCGTGGAATTACCAGCACTTCTAGGTGGATCTTCGGGCCATCCTAATACTGTTCTTATTGAACTGTTATAAATATCTACAACGTACCCAGGAGAGCCTATTTCAATTGTAGATGATAGTGTTGGTTCATGAACTGTTATCGCAATTTTTGATTCTTTTTTAGTAATGGATTTTATTCTACGTTGTAATTCATTATTAATTTGCTCAATTTGATAGGACCCAGTTGGTATTGAAACAACGTTCCAATCTGGAGTGTCATCTTTTTTATTCCTATATGCAAATACCAGAGAATTATTAGGTCTCTGACCGCCAAATGGAACCGATCTGATATTAGGCCAACTATGATACACTCGTAATTTTGCCAACGCGATTTCCTTTACTGAAACAGGCGAGGGAAAATTCACACTGAATTTAGGGTTTGTTGACGATATTGATATCATGCTTGTTTTCCGCGGAGTGGTATTTTCTGCTATCCGCTGAAGTAGTTGAATCTCTTGCGACATTATTATTATTTACAATGTCTAATTTTGCAATAGATGAAAAAACGCTAGCGTTTTTAATCGTAGTATCATAAATACGTATCATCGCGGAGAATTCGTCTTCGGTAATTATCGTATCATCAATCGATGATGACATCAACGAGGATAATTGTGAGTAACCGTTAGATACTGCTTGATGTTTTACTATATAGTCGTTAAGTTTTTCTTGAGAACACGAGGATATTTTTTTAGTAATAGCATTTGCAAGTCCAGCAAATGTTGTCACCGCGGAAATAGCAATTGGGACAGCAATCGGAGCTACCATTGTTACTGAAGATAGTATAATACCAGCACCGGCCATTATACCAGATACCGAGTATACTGTAACATCAATTGCGGTAATTCTCCTGCGATACTTTTTAATTTTTATTTCATATTCATCAATGAGTGTTTTGAGTTTTGTTAAGAAGTCTTTGACGGTATCATAGCGATATTGCGATGATGGAATCATATTATTTTAAAACCTCAAGTGGTTTTTAATTGTTAAAAATTCTAATTTAGATCAGCTACAAACTCCATGTACCATACAAATGATGTCTTATTTAAATTAGGATCAGTGCTTGTTATTGTAAACCGTTTGTATTCACCCACGTCAATAGTCGTTGAAATCACGTTGTTGTATCCATATGAAGTCGATGATGATATATTAAACTGATTCAGTGACACTATTGTTAATCGATAAATACCCTTGTTTGACACAGTGAGGGTTACTGTATTCTTTTTAGGTTCCCAATCTAATGATCCAGAGAGAACTGTGTATATCATATTTATGATATTTCTCTCATGAGGAATCTTTATTCTTTCAAGTAGCGGAAGATTGTCTGTTTTAAATTTTGTAATATCCTCGATAGATTTTTTAATACTATTAATGCTATCTCTAATAATACTAAATCCAGCATCATTAATATTTTTAATACTAGCTTTAATTTCATCAAAATTGGATTTAATTTCAGCGAGAGATGGAGAGGTTACCGCTGGTGTTCCAAAGAATTTATTGATAATATTTCTACGAAGGGAAGTATATGTTGTTATATGTTTTTCAAGTTCTTCATTTAAATTTTTTAATGCATCTGTGATTGTAGAAACAAATACACCTGGTTTGAGTTTTCCATCATTTGAATATAACACTATTGTATCTTCAACGACGTCACGTCTTCGTATTAAGACATCATCCAATGAAACATTACTAGATTTCAATTTGCCCTGGCGATCTTGAAATACAACTATTTCCCCAGGATCTACACTTGACAAATTTAATGTCTCGGCGATTTCATCTTCGATTATTTTTTTTACACTTTCGACAGCGAATTTGCTATCGGTTTCTGTTTTTTTTGATTCTGATAAAGGTCGTCCCCAAATATCAATCATTAT